CCGCCGTGACCGCGGCGCTGGCGGTGTGCGGCCGCACGGCCGCGCCGACGCGCACCGCCGTGCGCGCGCTGGGCAACCACCTTTGGTTTGTCAACATCGCCCTCAACGTCTGGGCGGCCGCGTGGAGCGTCCGCTTCTGGTGAGCGCCCTGGCCCACCCTGCTGACTGCAGCCCGATCAGGATGTACTGTTGAAGGCGCAGCACGGTGATCTCGGCCACGCGCCCCCCTCACGAACCTGACGCACGGCGCACGGCCCCGGCTGGACCATCCCTCCTGAAGGCGCCAGGCAGACGCGGTCGTGCTGTGCCGCGCGCTGCCGACGCGCCGCGGGGACCACGCCAGGACGATCAGAGTGGTGAGCGTGCTTCCTTCCCAGCCGCTGACAGAGGTCCGCCAACCAAGAATGCCCGCAACTGCGCTCCCTTGCCAGGTTGCGCCCCAATTCTTGAGGCGCCTCACAACGCTCCACGCCCAAACGACCCGCGCCCACCGACGCCCCCACGCGCAGGCGCGCCTGGCCCTGGCGCGCGCCATGGCGGATGCCGACGAGCTGCGGCGCGAGCTCGCCGGGCAGCAGCGCGTTCTGGACGCGCAGCGCGGCTACATCCTCGCGCAGGGCGACGGCGGCGCGGCCGCGGGGCACGGCGGCTGCGCCGGGCTCGGCAAGCACGACGGCGCCGGCGCGGCGGGCGCAGCGGCGGCGCCGGCGGGCGCGGGGCTGCAGCCGCTGGAGGCTTCCGAGGGTCAGGTGCGTGGGAGTCAGTGCTGCAGGGGTGGTTGAGAGGCACTGACAGCTTGGCATGCGCCCCTTGCGTGGAAAGGCAGCTGCCCCTGCTGATAGCCATGGACATGGCGGCGCCAAGCGCCCCTGTTTGCGCGCGCCCGGTGCGGCTGCTCTTCCCTCATGCCATGTGCAAACGCAACGCTCCCACTCCCTGCCCCCCCCCCCCCAACCCTGCAGTCCGCCGCCGACGAGTGCGAGGTCTGCTGCTCGAGGCGTCGCGACACCGCCCTCGGCTGCGGCCACGTGACCTGTGCGCGCTGCAGTGTCCTCTGCGCCGACTGCCCCTTCTGCCGCACTGCCGTCACGCAGCGCCTGCGCATATGGCTGTGACCGGGCCCGGCCGCGCCCATACGCGTCTCATGCTCACACATCAACACGGTATCCCACTCAACAACCACACAAGTACCTGAATCCGCGGCCATGGCTGTGCTCAAGCTTGCGCACGCGTCACATCTCATCAACAACTGGCCTTCTGTCTCGTGGCGCGTGTTCTTGCCACCATACAAACGCCTCGATGGGGTCGCTTGCGAGGCAGATGCACACTACCTGCACCTGGCATTAAAAGTAGGCATAACCTCGTTATTTCGAGCCAGCTTGCCTTGCTCCCAGGCCCCATCCCTGCAAACCCCCCACATTGTTTGCCTGCGCCATTCCAGACCCGTTGCGTCCTGCATAGATCCAACCTCATGTTCGCTCGCGGTGTCCATGAACACCATAAAACACACAGATCTACCATATTGTACGTTCGAAGGGTGTCCCCCGTTGCGTAGAGTGCCGCATGCTGGAAGCTGGGGTTTGGGATTTCGCCGGACCCATTGCACCGCTCGGCATGCGGGCGGCGTCACCTTGCGCTCGTCTGTGCTCGCCTGTGCACGTGGCACTGCAGTGTCACCAAGCCGGTGACAATTGCTGCGCAAGCGCTGCTACCGCCAGCTTCTCACACATAACAGATACATCCAGGCAATTCAATAGTAATTGTGCCAGTGTTGGGACGGAACAAGCATGTATGGATGAAGCCTAGGCAGAGCACTCTTGGGGACCAGTGAAATGCGTTGACTGCCCACCGGTGCCTGCACTGCTGGACACAGCAGCATGTATACGGTGGCTGCAACATTATGTAATTCTGCGACACGGTACTTTTGACGTCTACTTGTTGCGTATGTGTCTAGATCTTGTCTCCTGCACACGATACTCACGCGCCGCGACACGTCCGGTTGCTTCAAAGGCGTATGAACATCCAAGAGGAATTGTAGGGCGACAGTTACACGCGAAGAAGCAGACACGCTTTGCACAACACTGGCGGGCACGCTCGCGCCCGCCGTTGCGCGCCCGATGTGCTGATGCGCT